GGGGGTACCTGTTGTGGTAGGCTCCTGTGATCTGAGAACATACTTCCATGGTCTATACTGACTGTGATTAAAATGGGGTTACATGTCCCACATACATAAATACCATAACCAAAGATTTCCCAGCAGAATGTTACATTGTAACCAAGTGATTAGTGTTATTTACATCACCTGCCTGTCAGTGGTTTTAATGTTACGCTTGATGGTGTGCATAGGTGTATGTTCAGTTTTTGTGTGCTGTCTCATTTTAGTACCATCTACAGGCTGAAGCTTTTTGCCTTCAGCACTCCTGAGGGAGCTGCTATGTTGACACCACCTGAACTGGAAGAAAAAAATTTGATTTCTATTCAGACTCGGACAGAGAATATTGCAGGAGCCACCCTAGCACTTCTCCCAGTGTGGTTCTCCTCCTCTTGCCCCCTCCTCCACCAATTATCCATCTTAATTTCTTCCTCGTCCAATCATCTCATTTTCACGGTGCTGCACCCTCCAATCAGCATTTGTCCTGCAGGCAGTAACACTTATACATATCTGCTGTAATTAGACAATCACTTCCACATGTGGCTCAAACTTCTTCAAACCACTCAATCCCTACCTCACCCTCCCATCCGCCCACTGTCTCCTTTTTCCTCCCTCTGTTTTTCTTATTTCCCTGTCTCACACTCCACTACCCTCTGTGTGCCCCTGTTCACTTTTTCTCTCTCCCTCCTTCTCCTTTCTTTCTGATTGAATTACCATAAGTGCAGGTCTTGGCCAAAATATGCCAGCTTGTTCTGATTAAAACTGTCCTTGTTATACCAGAGACTCTCCAAATGTCTGTGAGCAGTATCTGTGCGTGTTGGTGTATTTGGGGGTTGGGTTCAGAGAGGGAGTAAAAGTGGATTGGGGGGGGGTCGGGTGTAGCAGCATATGCAGCATGAGTAGAAAAGAAAAAATGCAGCCAGACAACATTGCATGGTGAAAGATAAAGAAGTCCAAGAACAAGATGGGGACAGAGTGGAAGGAGATGGAGAGGCCGTGCTGGAAAGTGGGAACGGAGAGGGAATGAGACGGTA